CCTGTCAACCTAGGTACGACCCCAGTGCCGGTCCGATCCAACTACAATCACTAGCATGAAGAATTAGGCGAGCCCGAGATGGAGTCTCCGCATCCTGTCAACTAAAACAAGAGGCGCTCAAGCTAAGCGTATAGGCGCAAGCTTCGGCTAGCATAATTCAACGAAGTTCTCATTGTCCATGGACACTGAGCTCCCAGTAAAGGGTCATCCGGCTGTCGCGGAGAATATAATCCGCCTCTGTGAACATCAGCCGTGGACGACTTTTCAAAATATAGTACAATAATTTTCGAAGTTATAGAAATGATGCAGCCCCTCGTCGCAAGCTCGTACTACTCGTACCACGAAACACCTCCGCTAAGTAATCCTAGAAACTCCTCCGAAAAGTCTCCAGTGTTTATCGCTCTCAATGTCTTGGATGTTGGTTGCGGCTTTGTCAACAGCTTGGGTGTTTGCTCAACTGGTTGGTAATTTTCCATCTCTTCCTGATGTGACGAATCATCCATTTGATCATCATCTTCTGTATCACCATTGCTGCTTGTGTCATTATCACTGCTTGTATCCGCCTGGTTATCATTCCTCTCCGTTAGCCGAAATCTCGAAGTGAATTTGTCTCGAATCGAAGCCAAGCGCTTCTGGAAAGATTCCTCACTTTCTTTGATCGAAACCAATGCTCGTTTCTTGCCTGCCTTAGAGGTATGATCTAACACCAACAGCGACCTCCTTGTTGGTTTTGGGCATTTTGAACCAGTTTGCTTGCTCGGCATTAGCGCCGGATTTTGCCCATTCGCAAGGATTATTTTCCAACGCTCCGAGGTTATCTTGGAAATGCTGTACGTCTACGTCATTCACAGGGACTGGGATTAGCTTTGTCAACTTCTCGATCGAATTCGGCTGAACCAGTGAGGTTGTCTCTTCGATGATTTTGGTTCTCTTAGCCGCATTACTTCGGGCCCGCGGGGTTTTCCTTTTGGTGCCTATTTTGGCGGTCCCGTTGGGATCGCCCTCGTCTCCGTCCTGATAGATTATTTTATCTTCGAAATGTTCGAGGTCTTGGCTGCGTCTGCCTGTTCTCCAACCTCTATATGTCCGTCGTCATTGTGAATGTGCTGGTGTTGCATGTGATCGTCGTCGTGATGGTTTGTTTTGTGGTTATGGTCGTGCTGGTCAGGGTGGTTAGTTTCGGCCTTGCTGCTGGCTTAGGCGTACGATGCTCGACAACAACACGACAGAGAACGCAACACTTGACACAATCTCAGGATATCTATGGCAAAAGCCTAGTTTGACAGGCACATATATAAAGAGCTGTCGCACCACACGTAGCAAAGCAAGTCGGGGCGAAAAGATGGTAAAAGAAGCATGGATTCTTAATCTAATGCTATGTTGCGAAAAGTGGGCTAAAGGCTCCCCAGCGCACAGACTGATAAGATCATCATCTTGTTTGGGCTTAGAGCCTGGGGCTTTTAGAGAGTAGAGGGATAGACGCCAAGCCTGTGTCGTGAAATCCAACTCTGCACTAGGTTGTAAGTAGGCAGGTTAAAGGTCAAAATGAGCAGAACCCGAGTTTCAAAGCAAGATGCAAATCCATAGAATCGTGAATATCAGCCTTAGACAGCTTTTCAATAGATAATTTTTTCGAAGGTGAAGAAATGTACCAACTTGCAACTCTCGTCATATCTAATGCTTGCACTGCTCGCAATGAAACGCCTGCGCTAAACAATCCCAGAAACTCCTCCAAGCCCTAGCCCTGTATTCTCTTATCCGCCAAAAATATACCACTTACCCAGATCGGTGAAACCCCCAGTAGAATCGAGCATCTGCGCCGCCGGGCTTACGAAATTGTCATCCACGCTAGTGGATACGCCGAAGAAGCCATATTCAACAACCCAGCTCTGGGCCGGCTCGTCCAGCCACTTCGACACCTCCTTGGTGAACTGTACCACCTGGGCGCCGTCGCGGCTGGTGCTTGCCATCTCGCCTATTATCACCGGAAGGTTGTAGGTCGTGTGCTTCTCGGAGAAATAGTGCTCGGCGTTTCGGATCTCCTGGTCGCACGGGTTGCTAGGGAGCGTGTAGAAGTGGAGGTTGAGGTAGTCCGGTTTCTCGTCGTCCGACAACATGCCCATGAATGCCTGCAGCCATGCGGAGCCTTCACCCGAGCTAGCACAGCCCGGCCCGACAAGCTTCACACCGTACTTCTGCCGCAGCGGGAGCATCTTTTCTCTCCAGCTAGCGACTGCGTCGGATGCCTTGATGCCATTGCGCTCCGGCTCGTTGTAGAAGTGCACGATCGTGTTCTGCTGAGTCGACACCACGGAAATAAGGTTGGTCCAATTATCGCCCTCTAGGTGTTGTGGTGTGCGGACCATCGGCCGATAAGGTAACGTCTTGGGGAGCTCACTTGGCCGCTTGGTTTCCCAGTTCGTGATCGACTTAATGACCCTTGATGAGGCCAGAGCAGTCGCCGCAGCCCAAAGACCAGGGATACTGGGGAGTTCGCTTGTTAACTTCGTCTCCCAGAGAATGATGCGCTTTCCGCTGCTAGAACCGCGCTCGGATAATGCACTCGGTGCCTCAACCGGCATTGCCCGGCCAGGACATGCAAGAAAGACGCAAGTTGCAAGGCAAGCAATATGCCTTAGACTCCGAAGGAGTACCATTATATCAGTGACTTAGGTATGATATAATTTGAAGTACCTAGGTATATAGAAAGATGAATTTCGCAGATGATCCCCGCGTAGTCGGTGATCCAGATGGAAGGATATTCTCACATCTTATTATCCTCGCCCGGATCCTGGTCTAGGGCGTATAAGCCAGAATAGATCTCCCTTACCATATGTCAGAATTGTTTTCTGCTCAAATAAGCCTCCCAACACACATCTACAGTGGTCATGACGCCAACGGTATGAAAGGAACTGGCCAGCTTGCAAGTAGCAGACAGTTTCGCGCTCGGAATAAATTGCTGATTCGGACGGATTCTAAAAATATGCTCCGTACCTCTCTTGGTGCCTGGGCCCTGGGATCGATCCGCACTAGTTGTGACGTAGATGTAGATCCTCCCGAAGCTGAACGCGTTGGTGCAGATCCCCCACCATCTGGCCTTATGAGGAATGCTTGGGAAGCTGAAAAGGGGTCAAGAGCTTAGAGGGGTATATGCCTCCAGAATTACCGTTCCCATAAAACTTTAGATATAAATTATTGAAGTTGGGTGGCCTTACTTCTCAATTGACTGCTCAAAACCCTCTCGAAACACTTTGTTCGAGTGTGACATTTGTCGCAAGAGTTATTGTTCTCAATGTTAGAACTCATACCACCTCGTTCGCATTTAAGGACAAGACAGTCCTAGCGAATTAAGATGACATCACTTCAGAAATAAGGCTGCTCTCAGGTAGACATTAATTGGACGCCTAGGTACGCAAGGTGATCGGCAATAGGATTCGGATCTATATTTACGATTGTCGTAGAATCCGTCTGCCCACGTGGGAGGCAGGATTTAAATGATCTATCACTTGTTTCATCAAGTTGATCTAGTAATGCAGAAGCTTGGAAGAGATAACAGCTAGGTACCTATGTACCTATCGACCTCCTACCTCTACTAGGTAGGTATTCAGGTTATTGGTATACGCTTATTCAAAGGTAATTAGCTTAGTTCAAGTCATAACATAAAATGAGGTAAGAAATTTAATAGACCACAGTCAGCTTCCTTCACAACCGAGTTAGACTACACGAGGATTACCCCGAAAATCGCAACTAACAGATGACGAAACTGAAAGTTAAGATAAGAGGTAGACAGTTAGCATTTTCCAATATCGTCTATCAATTTTATCTAAGGAGAGTGAATTTAATTATCTACAATACGCTCTAAGCTGAATGGTGTACACTTATGCGTGAGCACTGTGAGCACGAGTTAAGTACAATGAAACTAGCACCAGAAGTCTTCTAATTTACACACATTCTAACGAGACAAACTATTTAGGAGCTCATATAATTGTAACTGATACCTTACTTAGATAAGAGGTGCCCAAGTATCTATTAGAGTAACCTAATGCAATGGAGTTGGATATACGGAACCAAAGAAAACGTCTTAACATTACCAAGCGTTCAAGACAAACCGCTGGCTCACCTGGCAGAAAGCTTTAGTTCACCTGACACGAGATTAAAGGATTATTTAATTCGTTTAATTTGGAAAGAGAATATCTAGTTGGTAGTCCCATAGGTAGACCGTCTTCGGAAATATCAAAATGGTAGCTTTCTTATCGGACATTCGAGCATCATTTTTGCTCATTGTTTCGGATGACTAATAAGATATTTGACAGTATTAGTAGATCAAAGTTATCAAACTTAAGAGCCCACGAGTTTCTTTACCGAGAGATGAATGAGGTACATATGGCGAGTAGCGTGCCAGGTTTGGGGCATTGAAGACCAAGCCCCGTCACAGGTATGTTCACTATAGTTTGAGAACTCGGGCTGTTCATATTTCTCATATATTGGTCTTGTTCATACTTGCTGAAATAAACAGCAAGGGAATCATACACGATATGTGCATCGTTAGGAAGACCAATGGCAGGATGAAAGGAATAATATCAAAAACAAGAGAGAACTGCTATCACGCGACACGAACCACTCGATAATATATGGTCCATACCTACTTAGATATTTCATATCGTATGGACAACTCCATTCACTTTCTCCCGAAAGAACATTATAGGCGATGATTCGTTCCATTAACACACCGACCCTGACATATCGTCTTACGAACACTGGCAAATGTACGAGACAATACGTCATTGAAAGGCATACGACGAGGGAAAACTGATTAAAATGAGCATTAAACTGAGTGACAAAAAGTATTTTTCAAAAAGGTGCCCAATTTCAGACTCGAGTTCATCCAATGGGCCGATTGCCGGCGTCTGGAGGGTGTGAGTCATTGGGTAGCAGGCAGCTTATAGGGTTGTATTGAACGGATGACTTTCACAACCTCGAGCATCCAATCTCCTGCGAAAAGCTTCATGGCGCAGTGGAAGCGCGCCGGGCTCATAACCCGGAGGTCCTCCGATCGAAACGGAGTGAAGCTAGGAGTTCTATTTTTCGTCGTCAGATCTTTTTTTTTTTTCCCTTTTCTAGGTACGAAGTAATCCACAGCTTATTATCCCCACCGTAGTGGAGTTCGCCGTTCCTCACCACGTTTCCACTTCTTTATTGGTCATATTGCTGTCCGGCTGTCTAGTACGAAAAGCTTCTATCCTAATCCATTACCAAATTGATAAAAGTCTGCAAGATGTCAGGATTGAAGGCCGTTTTCTGCGGCTCTTTTCAGCTCGCCTTATCCTGGGATCCCTAAGATGCAGACTAAGGTTAAAGATTTTAGGTGCAGGACAAGGGGGTTGATTGGCTATCCTTCCCGTTGGGACACAGCAAACGTCATCTTCTGATCATGGCTATCTATGTTAGTCTCAGGAGGTTTGATGAGAGAATCGTATTCGGGCACGTGTTGACTCAAAAATATCAACATGAGAAGCAGGTAGGTATGCAGCTTCTGCATAAAGCTACACCCATCAAGTGCTCACTAGGGAGGCTGCCATACCCTCCTCTTACATTACCGTACACAACCAAGTACCACGGTTCACAGGAGTAGCAAACAAGACATCACGATGGAGAACCATGTCGTGTGTATGTGTATGTATACGGGATTTTATTATTTCAGCACAGCAAACTCGCCACACACAATCCAAGCGTTCTCGTCGTACAACTACCATTACATTATGCTGTTCCAGCCGAGCTCCGAAGCCCGGGCATAATACATGTACACACTATTACAGTTTGCGTCCCCGCCTGTTCCCGGTCTATTAACATTAACAATGATTCGTCGTCTCAAACTGCCCTAAATCGTCCCACGTCATGGGGAACTCGTGGGAACCTAGCGGCTGCTGCGGCTCTTCCTCCTCGACTAGGGTGCTCGCAAAACTCTGCCAATCCTCGGATGCTAAGTCGAGCGGTGGTAGCATGCCCGCGTCGTTGTTGAAGAGCGGGAAGTCTAGGTTCATCGGCGACGTCGGAGTCGGCGCGAGCGGTGCCGGCGGCAATGCCTTGTCGGTGGGCGGGGACACATATCTTTGCTGCTGCGTAGGTTGCATGGGGAAGCTTTGATATGCGTTGAGTATCTGTTGTTGGTGGCTCGGTGCTTGCGGGATAGTCAAATTTAGATTCGGTACTTGAGAAGGGACAGCTGTGTGGCGGGAGTCCGCCGATGCCACTCGTCTGTTTTGTTTACCCATGCCATGGAGTACGGACGTGGAAGCTGAGCGCCGCGGCATAGATGGAGTCTTTGGTAAGACAGATATGTGCTTAGATGCATTGATGGGTGATGTCGAACCCGGAGGCGATTGAGCCCCCTGGGTCACAGATGCCGACCGTGGCCGGAAGATGACATGGACACAGGTATACGCCATTTCCACAATATTCTCGGCGGACTCCTTAGTACCGTCAAAGAATTCTAATAGATCCTGAAGCTGTCCGGGGTTCTCGTTTTCCACGAACCCCTGGGCGCGTCCTGTCGACTCGGGACTCCAGCTGAACATGGGCTGGTGGCCGTTGAACGTGCTCTGCTTCGCTGCTATTAACGCTTTCCACGCCTCATGGATTAGATGCTGGTGTAGCAAGCCATAGATGACATTCGAGTGCATCCAATCCACCTTCGTACTCCCCGTCTCGAAATGCGCGGCAACGTGGTCGATGTGCTTCTCGAACTTGCCGTGCATCGCGGCGCAAAAGCCGCAACCCCATGCCTTTCTCTTCGGAAGATGTTTGACGACGGTGTCGGCATGGGGACAGGTCTTGCAGCCATGCGCCGACTTGTGATGTTGATTGAATGTATTGCTGCCCCAAAAAGCTTGCGTGCAATTCGGGCAGGGATATTTTCGCGATCGTTCGTGGAATTCCTCTTCGTGTCGCTTCCAGTCAAATTTCCTCTTAAACGTCTTGTCGCAGGATGTGCACCAGAATTTTGCATCGGTGGCTGGGGCCGTTGTCGACGATATGGAGCTTCGAGCCGAGGCCGAGGAAAATACGCTGTCGCGACTCGAGCAACTAGACCTCGATGACGAGACGGACGATCGTTGTTTGTGCGGCGGTTGGCTATATGAAGCATTGATGTCTCTGTAGCTGAAATTGGGGATAGCTTGGGCTATTGTTTACGCGTTAATATCGGGGACATACACGCGTCCTATGCGAGAGCGTTCCATACCTTCTGCCAGCATAGCTTGTTGTCGCTGCTGTTGTGAATCTTCTTCTAACAAAGCAAGCAAAGCATCGCGACTGAGACCAGATTGCTTGAGAGCTTCGAGATGCTCTCGCGCCTGTGCTAGTACCCTCGATGGATGGTCCATTGGATTTTCTAATCGCAATTGGCGACGTGTGATATGAGTGAGGGCAACAGCGGAAGTCAATATCGCGATGAATAGGCGATTGAGGTTAGATCAAAAGAGGAGGGTGGTGTAGAACCTTGGAACAACAGAAGCGAAGATTTACGATGGGAAGGCCGAAGGTCGTACCCGCGTGTATTCGTGTATTCGGCTACCGTTCTGTGATATATTACTCCCCAAACACCCCCGGTTCGCACCGTCATATTTCATGGGTCGCGATCCCGACCATCATCCTATCCTGGCTCCTCATTGGGGGGGAGACGCACAACCTTGGTCCATCGGTCGAATCAGCCTCGCTATTCCCCGGGCTTTTTGGCAGAGCGTGTGCAGCTATGCAGAAAGGGACTGGAGGCCATTCGATGGTCGGCTCAACCTGAAACGGGTCGATGCCATCCATGCGCCTCCTCATTGTTTCGAAACACGCGCAATGGTGGGATGATGGCACCAATAGCAGTGGAAAGTTGGAACGAGGGCAAGCGAACAACCAGGATTGGATCAGGCCGGATCAACCGTGGACCCATTGATGATCCACGATCAGCCTACCTAAGCACCGCTAGGTACCCGGCTTGCTAGGGCTTGCTCCCTTGGCGAGGGTCCATGCAGAAAATCTGTTTCAAGATTGCTGGGCTCCGTGTACTTGTGATTGGCGCGTCGTTTAGTCCATTCCCGGGTAGGGGTCCGAATTCGTCACACTGAATCTCTGTTCTTTTCTCATGATCATCAATGTCCATTTCCTAATCGACCTTAATTGGAAGAGAAAACGCGAAGGAACGGTACTTCTGCAGGTGTCACTAGTGACTATAGTACGTGATAAGATCCGCCTCGATCCATACGTTTCCCGTCATTCTGGGCCTAGCATATCTCATGGTCCACTTAAGAGCTAAGACCCCTACCTTGGGTACCTGATATCGCTGACGTTGGCAGACTACTGAACTAGGTACCTAAGGTACTGAACACGTACTTACCGTTGCCCTGCTTTACACATTCGCTATATCTGGGGTAGACACTATTATTGGCAACACTCTAACTGATCCCATTTTTATACTGTTTCTGCGCCGTTCTCGCCTTAAGATAGAACCAAAACCTGAGGTAGGCTTAGCAAAAGTTGCCGCATCATGATTGATTTCGAATTACGACACTGGCCGAAATAGCGACACGTACGACTGAAACACCGAAACGCATTGACGCGCAAACGCAACCTTGGGGTATTCGATTGGTGAAGGCATCGTATTTTGATGATCAAAATAGCAGCGAAACACTGAAAGCCATCAAAACATAGCCAATGCTGGCTTTACGTCCCTCAATTGCTACGTACCTCGTCTTATTTCTCGGAGGTACTTGAACGCTTCAAATTCAAGGTCTACTATTCAGCCGTTCACTTTCTACCCACCTCAGAGTTGTCGTCACTCTACCTACGTACCTCCCTAGTTTCATCGACCTCGCGATTTCTACCCAAGACCAGATAGTTCGGTCTTATCTCTTCATCATGGAATGAGGCATCTGGGCTATAGCTCAAAGGCCGTATTTTTATCTGGGACATCTACTAGCAGTTCACCAAAGAACATTGTCTTCCGATCATTTCTCGGTCGGCCTCGAACCACAAAGGTCTCAGGCAACTAACTAGTGACAATAATCAATAGGATAAGGCCTTTGCAGAACCATAGAGCGGAAGACAAATGAACATTCGTCTCAGATTTAGGTACTGAATGACAGTTACCTGCCTACCTAGGTAGTTACATGAAGTATCGACCTGTTAACAAACCGCATCGATTACTTTAAAGGGCTGCCTTGTGGTATTCTACCGTCTGCCATTATCTCCTCGTGGGAGCAACGATACTTCCTAAGGGTGCCTACGTAAGTAGTACCTAGGAGTCAATCGTAGAAATGGAACTACCTACTTTTTTTCTTAAACGACGTAGGTAAGTGCCGAGGGAACCAAGTCGAAGTCCGAGTCCTTTACCAGTCACCATTATTGTAATATTTAAGAGCCCTACTACCTCAGATATGTCACTCATACTTCAGCAACAATTACATCAACACATTTGACTCCCTACTTTCCTTGTATCTTCAACTTCTTGATTCTAATTTTTCTTCCCAAATCCATACTAGGCATATCGGTGGTATGTGCCCCTGATCATAAATTTACTTTGTTCTTGTAACACAATCTTCTAGTATTGCCCTCTTCCGACGTTTTCGAAGACCTTTAAAGCCACTGACGGGAAGTTATCAACCAGTCATGAGTAACGAACAAGTCAGGGTTCATCAGGACTCCAACAAACTCACTGTTACAGTTAATCCAAAGAAACTGGTCCCACGGAAGCAGATAGTCCAAGCGGTAGGGCCATTTATACGAGCGTGTTCCAGACAACAGCCAGGTACTTCAATCCGGCCAGATAAACTCAACACCAATTCGCCTACCGTAACGCCGCCTGGTTCGAGAAAGGGGTCGTCATGTCCACTATTATCGCTTCCTCTAGAACTGTTCTTTGAGATCTTCGACCATGCGACAGAGCCGTACAAACAGGACGGCTGGTTGATACCTGAAGCCTCCGAGGACAGTGAATCTGATCCGATGATGCTAATATTGAAAGATTATCGTATACAGAGGTTGAAGTTCTTCCACATTTCGAAAGCGTTCAGGCTGGTAGCTGTGT